CTTGGCTCACTGCAACCTCTGCCTCCCAGGTTCAAGTGATTCTGCCTCAGCCTCCCAAGTAGCTGGGATTACAGGCTCATGCCACAATGCCCAGCTAATTTTTGTATTTTTAGTAGAGACGGGGTTTCACCATGTTAGCCAGGCCGGTCTCAAACTCCTGGCTTCCCAAAGTGCTGGGATTACAGGTTTGAGACCTTAAACCTGGCCTTCTTTTTTTCAAATTAAAAAAAAAATAGGAGGGGAAGCCATTATCTTTTAGGTATACTATTCATAGTCTTTTAACCTAGTTCTTTTGATTGTAAAGCTAATATCTGCAGGGAGTTTAAATAACAGATTAAGAAACTTGGATTCTAGAAACAATTGCAGATATTACTGATTAGCTAGTTGGCAGTGGGTACCTAGGAGATAATCTTTGAGCTTGGTGGATTCAACTTCTCTGCCGGTGATCGTAGGAATTGTTTTCTTGCTTAGAGTTTGGTGGTGATCTTTTTAATGTTTTCTTTCAGTTTTGTTGTATCTGACTGATTTAATCAAAGTGTTGTTTTTTTTATTCGAAAGAAATGCAAAATGACTTTCTTGCTACATCTTTATAGTAACTTCTTTGGGAATTTTATTTATTTATTTATTTATTTATTTTTTAATTACTAGCTTCCTTCAAGAAAATCTTTACCATCTCCTTCTAGGAAGAAATGGTTTTAAAAAAAGAAACTGTGAACAACAGATATATAATGTAAAGGAAAGTTCATAAATCTTCTTTTTTTTTTAATACAGAATCTTGCTCTGTTGCCCAGGCTGGAGTGCAGTGGTACAATCTTGGCTTACTGCAGTCTCTGCCTCCTGGGTTCAAGCGATTCTTCTGCCTCAGCCTCCTGAGTAGCTGGGATTACAGGCATGTGCCACCATGCCGGCTAATTTTTGTATTTTTAGTAGAGACAGGATTTCACCATGTTGGCCAGGCTGGTCTCGAACTCCTGACCTCAAGTGAGCCACCGTACCCAGCCACAATTCTTGATTATATAGCTTTTTGAAATTTTACATAGGTACGACCACTACCCAAATCAAGATGTAGAATGTTTCTAGCACCCTAGATTTGCTTCCACATTCTCCCAGTTAGTACTCTCTCCCTGTTCCTGAGTAACCGCTAATCTGACTTCTTTTACCATACATTAGTTTTGCCTGCTCTTGAACTCAGGGTAGAGCCTACTCGTGTCATTTCTCGTGTTTGGTACTTTCACGCAATATTATGCCAGGGAGTCATCTATGTTATGTATCTATCAGTAATTCTTTTTCTCATTAAGAATAGTAGTTATCTTTCTTATGCTTCAGAATGCTACATCAGCACCTGCATTCGTCTTATTTGAGATACTGTTTTCATATTTTGTAAGCTAATAAGTGTTGACATCTGAATGATGCTGCCTTTAGAGAACTCACTACTCAAAAGTTAAAATATTGCAATTATTTAATGACAGTAAGTTTAAACAAAACGAGGTGGCTCATGCCTGTAATCCCAGCACTTTGGTAGGCTGAGGCAGGCAGATCACGAAGTCAGGAGATCGAGACCATCCTGGCATCAGGTGATCTGCCTGCCTCAGCCTCCCAAAGTGCTGGGATCACAGGCATGAGCACCGTACCTGACCAGTTACATCTTTAATAAATCATACAGGGAAATTTGTGCAAAACAAAATTAGGTTGTGATTATTTATAGTTTATAAAGGAATCTATTTGGTTTAGAGGTTTTAATTATGGAAAATTCTCCATGTGGATATAAGTTATATTTCAGGCTAAAAATACTCTTTATAGGCTGGGCATGGTGGCTCACGCCTGTAATCCCAGCACTTTGGGAGGCTGAGACAGGCTGATCATGAGGTCAAGAGATTGAGACCATCCTGGCCAACATGATGAAACCCCATCTCTCCTGAAATTACAAAAATTAGCTGGGCGTGGTGGCACGTGCCTGTGGTCCCAGCTACTCGGTAGGCTAAGGCGGAAGAATCACTTGAACCTGGGAGGCAGAGGTTGCAGTGAGCAGAGATTGTGCCACTGCACTCTGACTTGGTGACAGCAAGCCTCTGTCTCAAAAAAGAGAAAAAAAAGAATGTCATTAAACTTATGATGCATTCATTATAAAGCCAGTAAAACATGTTATTATTCGGCATTTCAAAAAAAAAAAAAAAAAAATTATAGCCCTTCAGGAATAAACTTGCTGGTTTGATATTTAGCTACACATTTTGGGAGCAACTGTTTCATTTAAAGTAATAAATAGTTGGGTGTGGTGGTATGCACCTGAGTCCCATCCACTGGGGAGACTGAGGCAGGAGGAATTGTGCCCAGAAATTCAAGACTGGCTGGGCAACATAGGCCCCAAGTCTAACAAATAATTCAGAAGATTAAAAATTACAGGTAGTTCTCCCCAACCCATATGTTTTATGAGATGTAATTCACATTTTTTTCTTTGAATATATCAGATATTTGACATGGTACATAATTCAAGAACTACAAAAATATTTGAGAAAGTAATACTACTCCTAGCTTGGGACACTTAAGATTCTTACCCATATATTAGCCATGGTTACCAATTTTTTGTGTATCCTTCCAGACACTTTATGTGTACTAAACCACATTTTAATGTTGCAGATTTAAGAAGGATATTCAGGACATTTAGTATTCCTAATTATCTTATGGAACTTGGATTTTCTGGTTTGTCAATTTCATACAGTTCTAATTCTTACCCTAGCATGTTGGATATTTTGTTCCCCTCTCACTTCTGCCTGTAGACCTGCTTTGGGTCTTTTTATTCTGCTGACAAATTTCCTTTGCAATAGTTAATGGTTGTACTGGTTGCTGATAACCACCAGGATTGGTAGAGAATGTCATAAGCTGACTGCTAGTTAGGCTGTTGAAACCTTTAGAAAAGTGTGATGAGTGTGAGCAAAATCTTTACTGTAGGTTTGAAAACTACCTATACCTGGACTTTGTGATTTAGAGGAACCATTTCCTATACAACAGCAGCAATTTGTTAGGAAATGTTGGCTAAGACTTAAGGAAAAATAGGAATTTTTTAGCGAGTAAAATTGTAGGTCTTTTAAGCAAAGATGATGAGTTTTGGTCTTTTCCTAAAATATAACACTACTATAAATTGAAGTTAAATATACTTTTTCTCTTTTTTTTTTTTTTTTTTTTTTTTATAATTTTTTTTTTTTTTTTTTTTTTTTTTTTTTTTTTTTTTCTTTTTAATTGGTTTTTTTTTTTTTTTTTTGAGAAGGCCTTTCACTCTTGTTGACCCGGCTGGAGTGCTATGGCACGATCTTAGCTCGCTGCAACCTCCAACTCCCTGGTTGAAGCGATTCTCCGGCCTCAGTCTCCTGAGTAGCTGTGATTACAGGCATGCGCCTCCACACCCGGCTAATTTTTTGTATTTGTAGTAGAGATGGGGTTTCACATATTGGTCAGGATGGTCTCCGTCTCCTGACCTTATGATCCGCCCGCCTCAGCCTCCCAAAGTGGTGGGATTATAGGCGTGAGCCACCGAGCCCTGCCCTACCTTGTTTCTTAAAAATGGAATTAGGAGTCCTTTTTTCAGATGTAGTTTCAACAACACACTGTTTGAATTTAGGACTTTTTGGGGGAAACTATGAACTTGTAGATTGGGCTGTTTGTCAAGATTGAAAGGTTTTAGTCCCATTAGTATCAGCTAACCTCTTTATCTCAAATGAGATAAAGCTATCTTCTTTTAGAATTATTTCCAGACAAAAGGAAAATATTTATGAAAGGACTATCAAAAGTGTGCAGCAGTGAAATATGTTCCTTTCTAATTTTGCTCCTTTTATTTACTGATACAATGAAGTCCCTGACATTACAGAAAATCTACTTAGCAATCTCATAAGTGAGAACAAGTCTGAAAGCAGATAAAATTAATTGTTCTAGATCCTAGATGCAACTTTTAACTTGGAGTTATTCCCACAGCATTTCTGTTTGATATTCTTACAATTGCCTTACACTCAGAATTCTCACTAAGGGGGCATTACCATAGTAATTATTTTGGTAGAGAATAAATACAGGGATCGAGCAAACTGATGCAGGTGACCATCTTGATTAAAACGTGTATTAAACTTGGATCTACATAATGGTAGGGAGGCAGAAATAAGCCAATGACTTAATTTATATTGATGCCAAATTGGTGCTTGCTTGAGCATTTCAAAAGAAAGCAAAGAAAATAGCAGTTGTTAACATTAGCCACAACTCTAAGGGCCATCCTGGTAGGGCACATAGGGAATATAATTCACACCAGAATTTGAGGATTTTATTTTACCTTCCAATATACAATTATTTCTAAATGTGTGTTAACTCTTTTTACCCCCAATTTGAGTTTGTGTTTTCATATGTTGTCTTTTTGGATTGCTGTTATAATAATGAACTCTTCCTGTATAGGTATGAAATCACCAGAAGAACAACTGGTGTGTCTGCCACCACAGGAGGCCTTTCCTAACGACCCCCGGGTAATAAATAGACAGAGAAGTTCTGATTACCAGTTTCCATCCTCTCCATTTACAGACACACTAAAGGGCACCACTGAGGATGACGTGTTGACAGGTCAGGTGGAGGAGCAGTGTGTGCCAGCAGCAGAGGCAGAGCCGCCTGCAGTGAGCGAAACCACAGAGAGGACAGTGTTAGGAGAGTACAATCTCTTTTCTAGGAAGATAGAAGAGATTTTGAAGCAAAAAAATGTTTCATATGTCAGTAGAGTTTCCACACCTGTCTTTTCAACACAAGAGAAGATGAAACGGCTTTCCGAGTTCATATATTCTAAGACTTCCAAAGCTGGTGTGCAGGAGTTTGTGGATGGTTTGCATGAGAAGCTAAATACTATTATTATTAAAGCATCAGCCAAGGGTGGGAATTTGCCACCAGTCAGTCCTAACGATTCTGGTGCAAAGATAGCATTGAATCCTCTGGAAAGGCATGCCATACCAGTTTCCTCAAGTGACTTCAACAATAAACATCTCCCTGAGCCACTGTGTAGTGATCCTTTGAAAGACACCAACTCTAATGAGCAGCATTCCACTTCCACTTCGAGTTTAACTGAAGTAGAAATAAACCAGCCTCAACATGCCACAGAGTTAACGGTGACTTGTGATCATACTGTACCTGGTGATATGGCCCGGGAACCGGTAGAAGAAACAACAAAATCCCCCAGTGATGTAAACATTTCTGCTCAACCAGCTCTTTCGAATTTTATAAGCCAGTTAGAACCTGAAGTATTTAATAGTTTGGTTAAAATCATGAAAGATGTCCAGAAAAATACTGTGAAATTTTATATTCATGAAGAAGAAGAGAGTGTGCTCTGTAAAGAAATAAAGGTAACTAAACGAGAAGGTAATAGTATGCTGTACAAACGTCTCTTGTTGGTATGACTTGTTTAAAATGGAAGTGTTTTATGTTTAAATGTTTACCATAGGTCAGGCATGGTGGTGGCCAATACCTGTAATCCCAAAACTTGAGAGGTTGAGGCAGGAGGATTGCTTGAGGCCAGGAATTTATGACTAGCCTGGGCAACATAACAAGACCTTGTCTCTTAATAATAACAAAAATTAGACATAGTGGCACTTGGCTGTAGTCCCAGCTGCTTGGGAAGCTGAAGTGGGGAGATCACTTGAGCCCAGGCATTCGAGATTAGAGTTAGCTATGATTGTGCTCAGCCTGTGTGACAGTGAGATCCTGTCTCTAAAAATAAAATAGGCTGGGCGCGGTGGCTCACACCTGTAATGCCAGTACTGTGGGAGGCCGAGGTGGACGGATCACGAGGTAGTGAGTTCGAGACCAGCCTGACCGTCATGGAGAAACCCTGTCTCTACTAACAACATATAAAAATTATCTAGGCATGGTGGTAGGTGCCTGTAGTCCCAGCTACTTGGGAGGCTGAGGCAGGAGAATTGCTTGAACCTAGGAGGCAGAGGTTGTGGTGAACTCAGATCGCACCATTGCACTCCAGTCTGGGCAACAAGAGCAAAACTGTCTCAAAGTAAAATAAAAGTTGATTGTATATTTTCATAATTTAACTCAGGGTGAAATAAAAAGAGTGTAAGTCCAAGTAAATTCAGAACCTCTGATCTAAATACGTTAGAATTTAGAATCTTGTTTTATAGTTTTAAATGTTCCTTGGATTTTTAATGAAAGGGAGGGAAAAACACAGGAAAAGTTAAGTTTCCAGGGTTTATCTCATGGTGTTTGATCAACCAC